ATAGAGATACATGATAATATACAATATATGTAATATATTATAGATCTAATTATAATATTATATTATTATACTGTATTGTTATTTTATATTCTGTACCATATATCATATATTAGACATTACATAATATTTACATTTTATATTTATTTTTATATATAGACTTTTTTTTTTCTTAACACACACACACACATATATATATACATATTAAAAAAATATCCTCTGCAATGGCACAGAACAAGAGCCCTGTAACTTCCAATCCCAGTACTTACAATGGACAAAATGCTGCTGAGATGCAAAACCTCTCCGCTCCCAGCCAGCCAAGAGGCAGAAGCCACAGCAAGGATCCGCAGAGTCAAAATTATTTTCTGTTTTATCCTCCCTTTATCACAAGGCTGGATGTAACACAGCTGTAGACTTACAAATAACACCAGTCTCGAGAGACCGGCAGTATAGTTACACTCAATTATACTATAAAGTATGACATCTCCAGAGAAATTACTAAGGCGCTCTCTCTTACCTGGATGACAGTAATAAAACAGATCTATTTATGATGGACTTTTGAAATCCATTACGTTTAAACAGCTTGCTGATTCTCAGCAGCAGCAGAACTGTACTTGCCACTGCCCACCAAATGCAACTCTTAAGTCAAATGACCCAGGGAATTTAATATGAGTGCTATTCTCCCATTACTTTAAGTAGACTTTTATTAACTATGCAAAGTATGGTAATTATTACAGATAGGGGCACTTTTTCTTTTTAAAGAGCAGATGGATATTAACAAAAAAAAACCCCATATCTGAAAATGCTTCTTCAAAACCATTTTTGAACAGGTAAAAATACACAGTGGGCGAAAAAAAATCACCACGTAACCTCTCCCTCTGGGAAACACAGGCTGCTGTGCTCAGCGTGAGAGGAACCAGGTACGCAACGCAAATGCCTGAACAGGGTTTTTTATCACCATTATCTCTGCAAGGTCCTTTTTACCCCACTCCCTTATACTTAAAATTCTTTGCTTTTTTTTTTTTCAATAAATCAAATAATGTTTTAAATCAGTCTGAATGATCATGTAACTGAAGGCACACAGGGGCCATGCTTGGAAAGCAGTTTCTTCGGTCTCTATCAGTATGCAAGTGTGAAGCTCCCGAAATTCAAGAGATCCAATACACTCACTGCTCACCTTTCGCTTAAGGAATTAAATAAAAACCTCTAAGGTTACAGAAGCAATCTGCATGCTCTGCAGCATAAGCGTGCCATGCTGGTGGGCAGCTGGAGGTGAAGACGACCCTTACAGCGTTCCCAAAGATGGGCTCTTAACACTGAATTCCTTCTTGAAACACTGGAGTGATTGCTAGAACTTGGCTAGATAAGAGATCCAAATACTCCTCATTTCACACAGACACCATGGGAATGAAGCAAGACAACAATTAATATTTAGTACCATTTAGACACAGCTGTTGAAGGAAGCCATATGGCTCCCAAAAATTCAAAGTAAGTCAGAAATAACCTTTTCAGCATAATTTTGTTATTGCAACTTGTGTAGTACCAAAGGATGACAAAGCAGCAGGGACATGGAGCTAACTGATGTGGACTTCCTACAGATTAATGATAAAAACCCAGAAATCTCTTTCCTCAAACTGTCTGACCTGGCCTGAGACACTAAAGACCAATATCCAGCTTCAGAGAGAGTGTGGTCAGGTTGTGGTTACCTGGGACTCACAGATAGACAAGATTCATCCATTCATTTCTTAGATCCAAGTGTTCCAAGAGGGACATCAACTCACCATTGAGGTCAGCAGGA